ATATATATGTATATAGTTAAATTTAACTAATAACGATTCTATAAGTTTCAAGAATCTTGAATTGAATTGATCTACTATCAAATTGTATCTAGTGCCTTATAGTGACAAAATAGTTTTGGAAAGAATAAAATCATCCCTTCACACACGCAGAAAGCCCAATACAGAATTTGACAGTAGTTAAATATTCTTCAACTCAGTTGTGAGGTAGAATTTTAAAAGTAACCAATGTACTTATTTATTCTTTGTAAGTCTTTGTTCGCCTTTATCGTTTTTGTAACGCAAGTTTGGAACTATAGCTTGCTTACGATAGCTTAGGGGTATCAAATAAACTGCGAGAGGGGTTCGAACCCGGGGAAGTGATACTATAATCGAACAGAAGCCATAGTTTAGCCGATTGGAGCAATGAGCGTACGCCCTTGATAAGAAATGGTGGTGCCAGTAGCCGACTGACGCCAGATGTAAATCCAATGGGAGTGGGTTGTAATTTTCAATTTGAATTACGCTGCAGATAAGTCTTTCCGACTTAAGGAGGGATTTCCGCCCAGATTCCACAAAAATACCACTTAAAAGACAAAAGTTTTATAAAAACCTATTTGTTTTAAATGTTTTTTTTCGGGGTTTATTTATTTACATTTATGATCATTTTTAGAACGTAAAAAAAGATCAGTAAAGTGCTTACGGAAAACTAAATTTTATATTGAATTTATTTATTTTGTGAGAGGTTTGTATAGCTTTAGTGCCTGCGATACCAAACAAACAAGAAAGGAAACTTTCGGGCGGAATACTCTGTAAATTGCAGAATACTCTGTAAATTATATTCTCCAAAATTATTCATATAATGCATTCTTAAAACTCATAAAAAATCCCAACTTCCTAACTTTAAAAACACCAAAGTTATGGAATTTCCAATCGTTCAGTTATATGGCAGCTATAGGATATAGTCGGCCGATCCTTATGAAACTTGATAGGTCGGATTGATTGGCTAAAAATAAAACCCATCGAAAATCCCAACTTCCTAACTTAACAAACACCAAAGTTATGGCATTTCCGATCAATCAGTTATATGGCGGCTATAGGATATAGTCGGCCGATCCTTATGAAATTTGGTAGGTCGGATTGATTGGCCAAATATAAAACCGATAGAAAATACCAACTTCCTAACTTTACAAACACCAAAGTTATGGTATTTCCGATCAATCAGTTATATGGCAGCAATAGGATATAGTCGGCCGATCCCAGCCGTTCTGACATATATACTGCGTGCAAAGGAAAGAAGGGTGTGTGCAAAGTTTCAATTCGATAGCTTTAAAACTGAGAGACTAGTTTGCGTAGAAACAGACAGACGGACATGGCTATATCAACTCAGGAGGTGATCCTGATCAAGAATATATATACTTTATATGTCTCCTTCACTGCGTTGCACACTTTGGACCAAAATTATAATACCCTCTGCCAGGGTATAAAAATTGGAAAAAGTCAACTTTTATGATATCGAACATTTTCGAAAACACTAATGGTGGACAAAAAAAAAATAATTTGTGGGCAAAAGTGTGCTTTTCAAATTTAAAAAAATCGATTTTGGTAGACACAAATTCTTTGATCTCCATAGCAAATGTGCGGCAGTGTGCGCGTCACCTAAGTTGGCCACGCAGATAACAAAATGCACTTTAACTGATGGCAAAGCGACTTGTTGGCTTGAAATAAATAAATTTACCGATAAGGAGACAAAGAAAGCTAAATGTCGTACAAACTGAATCAATAAAACCAGACAGAAATAAATTAAACTGTGAAAAGTAAGCACGATTCTCAGTGGGCGGTGGATGGGTGGTATTAAAAATTACGTAAGCGCTTTTCTCCATTATTAGCGGAAATTTCTTATTGGGAAAACTAAAAAGTGCCGTTAGCCGGTGCGTAACGTTGCCACCTGTCTCAGAAACAAGAAGAATGCTGGCAAAAGAGTGGCTAGTCTGTGCTCTTTTTTATTTTTGTAGTTTGTTTTTTGTAGCTCCAACGCTTTGTTTCAATTGCAAATTGCGACAAAAACAATGAGCTTTTGCGCCTTAATCAGCGATTTAAATTGATATATGCAGGTTGTTCGCCTGGTGGCGACGTCGCAGATGGAAAATTGTTGCACGTTAAGTGGAGCATGGCGTAAACGAGCGCTTCGCACAAAACAAAACTTAAACATAAACGCAGAGGCGATGGGAGTTGGGTATTTGTTTCAAATGTTTTTAATTTTAGAGGGGACGTTATTATGTAGGACGTTGCCTATTTTCACAGTCGTCTGCTCACATACACATACACAAACATTTGGCTTTTCGTTGTTGTCAATTAACGCTTTTGATGTGCCAACACACGACAAAAAAAAAAAAAAAAACAACATGGCAGCAGTAAATTTCCCCATATGAAAAAGTACTAACTGGTCCCCTTTTTAATCCGCCTCACCTCCCGTGAAACCATTATGAAGTGACTTTTGTGGACTTTGTGTACAAACAAAAGGCCATAAATACACCTTTCTTGCAAATATGTTTTCAGGTCATTCTCCGTCGTCTTATTCGAATTTTCGGAACTGCGTACAAGAAAATAACAACCAGATTTACAGCCAACACACACACACACACACAGATTCACGCACACCAAATGTGGTTAAGCAGTGAAAGGAAAGAGATAATGTTTGGTTTACTCGGATTCACTTGGTTTCACTTACAATCGGCCAAAGTGCTGGGGATGGCCATATGAAATATGGCTAAAAGGATAGCAATTTGCGCGCACTCACTACCGACACTTTTCGCCATTGTTTAACCGTGATTGTAATTTCAGCCACCGTTGTGAAAAATTAAATACTAGCTAGGGGCGGACAAACATCGATGCTAACATCGAGGTCATCGATATTCTAAACATCGGTAATATCGATGTTTTCCAAACATCGGTAATATCGATGTTTGGTGAGGCATCAACGATGTTATTCCATCTTTAAGCCTAGTATCCAGATCGACAAACGATTACGCTAGCGTAAAAACTTTAATATTTCGAGTGTGACCAAAATTTTGAGAGTTTATCAGATTTAAGCGTGCTACTGTCGTACTGTCAATCAGCTGGGTTTGTTGACAAGCAGTTAAAATTCAAATATCGTATTTGCGGGAAAGAGCCTTTAAAAGATATTATCAAATACCTTGGCAAGACAAGTCTGCCGCTGTACAAAGAAATTGAAAAACAATACAATTTAAATTTAACAGTTGTTTTTGTTAGTTTCTTGATAATTATTTGCTAATTTAAAGTTCATAGCTGCACTTTTATTGTATTTTTTCGTACATTCTGGACCTAAAAAACATTTTGCTCTGACAAGAGGCACCCCAGATAGTATTAATGTTGTTTTGTCCTCACATGTAAACACCTGCAATCGACTTTTGTGAGTTTTTTGAGTTTTTCCCTCCATTTCTTATAATGTTCAGTGAGAAGCGCACGCCAAAAGATTAAATTATTTAATCTTTTCGCTAGGGTTAACCCAAAGTTTATTTCCGCAGACTGGCAACGCTATGGAATTTTCTGGTATTTTTTTCGTCGATCAGGGGACCGACGTGAAAAAAGGCCCGACGAAAAGTGAACGCCAGCTGTTTGCCTCTCACTCTCTCTCATGACTGGCGTACGGTTTTCGTCGATCTGAATTCTAGGCTTAAATAATAATTGCAAGCTGGCGTGGATGTCGCTGCGGGACAGCTATAAATACCACCTGAAATGCAAGCGACCGAAGAGTGGAAGTGCTGGGTGAGTCCCACTGGAGAAGCCAACGGGTGTTAATCTTTTGGGGTGCCTCTTGTCAGAGCAAAGTGTTTCTTAGGTCAATAAAAAACTTAGAAAAATCGCCTGATAGAACTAACTATGAACTTTAAATAAGCAAATAATTATTAGTAAATAAAAAAAAAAACTGTTAAATTTAAATTGTAATTTCTTAGTTCAGCGGCAAACTAGTTTTGCCAAGGTAGTTGATAATATCTTTTAAAGGCTCCTTCCCGCAATTACGATTTTTAAATTTTAACTTGTCAACAAACCTAGCTGATTGACAGTACAACCGTTGCACGCTTAATTCTGATGAACTCTCGAAAATACAGTCACACAGGAAAGATTAAAGTTTTTCCGCTAGCGAACTCGTTTTTCGATCTGAGTACTAGGCTTTTACCTCGAACTTTTGCGATTTCTCAAATGCCAATATTTTTATTTACCGGGCGAGGCCTAAATATGGAGTGTTTATGCCATGGCCCAAAATTCCGAAAAACTCCCACAAGTGCTAAGTAAAAATCATATAAATACTATACAAATACCAACAGACTTTCAGGGCACACTAATCGCAATAGTGAGTTCCCATCACTTTCTAGCATATTTATTGCTTAAGCCTAGTACTCAGATCGACAAACGAGTATGCTAGCGTAAAAACTTTAATCTTTCCAGTGTGACCAAAATTTCGAGAGTTCATCAGATTTAAGCGTGCTACGGTCGTACTGCCAATCAGCTGGGTTTGTTGACAAGCAGTTAAAATTCAAAAATCGTATTTGCGGGAAAGAGCCTTTAAAAGATATTATCAAATACCTAGGCAAGACAAGTCTGCCGTTGTACAAATAAATTAAAAAACAATACAATTTAAATTTAACAGTTGTTTTTTTTTTTTAATTTACTGATAATTAATTGCTAATTTAAAGTTTATAGCTGCACTTAGATCTAACAGGCGATTTTTCCAAGTTTTTTATTGTGTTTTTTCGTACATTCATGCTCTGACAAGAGGCACCTGAGCACAAGTAAACTCCTGACATATGCCTTTGTCTAGGTCAGGGTTAGAATAGTCGAAAACACGCTGAAAAAATTGTGCCTTAATAAGTATTAGGGTGTACACATTCTTCGTGGTGTTTAGAACTAAAGAGGATTTGGTTTCATTACGGTCGCGGAGACCCCATTCTGATATGGGGCCCCGGGATATTTATACTCGCGTTTTGCGATGCTACACTCACCTAAACACCACCTTCCGACCATTGGAGATAATCCCCGCTGACGAAGATCGGCAAACCCACGGCCTCAACCAGGTGATGCAGCCCACCCAGATCCGGGGATGAAACACGGCCCAAGGATTGCCAAGACCAGCATCAGTTTGGGGCCGAATTAGTTTCCTTGATGAGTCCGTTCCGGGAACGTAGAGAATCATAGGCCATTGCGCGGCACTGCGTCCAACATTGTTTGACTGCAGCATGGGTGGACCTGGTCTCAATTAATTTTTCTGGCCCGCCGTCATCATTTTCCAAACCATTGGGCTGGACCAAATCCCTTTCATCCCGTATCCTCGCTGAATTTTGCGATTTTACCATGGCCATTGCTCGTTGCTGCGTCTGGCAAATACCTGAAAATAAATAAGTATCATGTTTTCATACCTTCATTTGCCTTTGTGAATCCTCGCAGCCAAACTCTGAAATAAGGAAAGAGGGTGATTTGAGCAAATTTAATAATAATTGTATTTATATATGTATGCTCGTCCCTAAATTGTGCTTTTTGGAGCTACAGTAGAATTAGAAGTAGGTTGCTGCCTTGTCAAGATACCCAAAAGAAAAACAGAATTGATTATCTTTAAACTGTTTATTGTGTTATTTATATTTGTTTACCTTTTAATACATTATGAGATGCAAATTGTGTCTGTGTATGTGGGACGGTCATAATCTCCGCCGCAGATGTGTACCCAAGGGTCAGGTCGTGGTGATAGCATAAAGCCACCAAATTCATCCGTTTTTGATGTCGAATAATATATTTTTTTTGGTATTAAGCGCCTGTCATAGTTAGTGGTTAGTATATTGTAGCAGCTGCCGGCAATCGATGTATCGATATGTGCGATACACTATCGATTGTACTGCCTGCTTTGATTTTGGATAGGATGAGAAACTATCCGTTAAATGACGACCGCGAATTTTAAACTCCAAAGGAATTGTAAGATTATAGCCTGCTTTAACTGCAACCACTAAAGTATAAAGCAGGTCGTGTAGCGCTTTATGCAGCACTCAGTAGAAGATGCACTGCTGGCGCCACATATGGGTGGGTAGCCGTAGTTTTGAGCTGTATGCTAGCGGTCTCTACATCTGGGGATCGGTGTGGAATTGGGCTGAATTCTGCTGAAAGTGCTTACGACCGAAGTGGCCTTTAGTCTTTGCAGAGGGTTCCCGCCTGATCCGGGGCAACTTCACGTTTCTTTCCATCTTGGCAGTTGAGCAGATCAGCCCCTTTGTACGAGTAAAATTTAGTGAAAAAGGGATTTTCTATTACAAAGAAAACCATATTATTGAAATACAGTGATGACTCCGCTGGGTATGCATTAACTTAAAAGTGGCGATTCGGTGTAAATCAGTAATGGTGACTTTGTTTAGACTTGGCGGTTAATAAGAGCGCAAATTTTAAAAATCTGTACCCTTGCAGAGGGTATTGTAATTTTAGTCAAAAGTTTGCAACGCAGAGAAGGAGACATTTCCGATCCTATAAAGTGTATACATATATTCTTGATCAGTATCACAAGGAAAGTCGATTTAGCTATGTCCGTCTGTCCGTCCGTCCGTTTCTACGCAAACTAGTCCCTCAGTTATTTTTTCAAGATTTTGGCATAAATTTGCTTAGTGTGTGTACATTGATAAGAACAACATTTATTTCATAAAGTTTCTCAAAAAATTAAATTTTTACCAAAATTGGGATTCACTTGTAATAAAAATGTTTTCAAAGGTTTTTATTTTCTAAGGTACAAATATAAATGTTTCAGTTAACAACAATAAACTTTTCTCAGCCCAAGCACATTTAATATCCACAATTGTATATCCTTAACACCAGACATCTAATCATGCCCTGATAGTCCTTTCAGTCATCCCGACCACTGGTTGTAGTTGTAGACCTCATTGGAGGAGCATAGGTTAGGATAGTTGGGCATGCGACCTGTTGCACATTCTGTGGCCGCAGATCCCGCTCGATAGACAGGGTTGTTTAGTACATTCGTGACCGCGTAGTTGCAAGCCAGCAGGGTCGCCTGTACGTTATTTGCGTCCGTAAATCGGGCGATGGCACATCCCACTCTGTTATTGCGCTCGTTCACCATGGTCGTAAAGTGACCGATAGCCCTGCAAAAGAGATCTGAATCATCGGTTACCACAAGCTTCCGAGTGCAAGATACGAACGGTCCACCACGCATCTGGTAGTTCTCCATGTCGGCGGCCGTCGCGTCGCGGTTCTCATCAAACCAAGCCGCAATACGCTGGCGCAGAAACTCCCCCACTTCAATGTTCCTGGTGAAGAGGATGCTCAGGTTCTGTCCAGCATACCGGTACGTATTGGTATTCCGACACTCATCATGCGCCATTCGGCACTGGAGTGCGTTGTAGGCAGCCAGTTGGGCCAGGGTCGTATCCCAGCTCATGGTGGCCATGTGCACGGCACTGGGGAACCCGCTGACCCCACCGCCTGCGATCAGGTTGCGCCGTTCGTTGTGGAGTTGCAGGATCTGCTGGATGTGTGGGTCCACTTGCACAAACTGTCCGCTGCAGCCGCTGACAAAGCGCTAATTTGGTAGGTTGGAAATTGAACAATAAGTTTCTCTGCCGTCGATTCATACTTTAAACTTTTTTAAATATAAATACATATTTTATTATGCACATTGTATACCGACAAGTGAGTGGTACCCCTCAGGAGGTTTTCATTGAATCTGGTCTTACGGCTCTTCTAAAACTGAAGAAATATCGACAAGTGTCAGTATTTTTGCTGGGTGTTTTACAACCGCTCGGGGTGAATCACTCTTGTAGGGTTTATTATTTATTATACCGGAAAAAAAATCAAGAAAAAATCTCTCTCTTGTATAAATATATACATTTTTTCTTGATCTAAAACTTACTCCGCTGCTCTGACAGGCCACATGTCGGCCATTCGGACAGAGCGCCGGGTCACAATAATTCTGGCAAAGCGAAGGACACACGACTGCGTTCATTAGGGACAATAGTAAGTGGATAGACCATGGCGACGATTTAGATCGTGTCATTTCGGACTCATATACGCAAAACTACTGATGTGTCTAGAAAAAACAACAAACGTAACTTGAGTGGATAGTGAAAGGGCGAATCATATTTATTTAGGTCGCAGCGCGGCTGTTTTTTGACGAAGTAAACAAGTGATAAATTTTAAAACATATACAATGATTTTATTAAAAGTCAGTACTTTGACTTATAGAATGTGCGTTTAAGTACAGTGAGCCCCCTTTAATAAGTGCAGTTTTTTTTAATACGAATATATCCCATTAAACGGAATTACCAAATTGTTTTTGGCCAAAACACTCCACTATAAACAAGAGAGAACACTATAGTCGGGTGCCCCGACTATCAGATACCCGTTACTCAGGTAAAGGGAGTACGAGGGAGATGGAGATAGAAACTTTGATCACGCATAACTTTTTAACGAATGGTCCGATTTGAAAAATTTCTTCTACATTTCGATAGGTATTGATAAACACAATAAAACTGCATTTTTACTTTTCCGAAATATTTAAATTTTTAAAATCGTATTTAAGCGATTGTGGGCGTTAAAGGGGGCGTGGCACCTTTTTGAAACAAACTTGCGCTGGGTAGGAACTCCTAGAATCTGCATGCAAAATGCCAATCTTCTAGCTTTTATAGTTTCCGAGATCTCAGCGTTCATACGGACGGACAGACGGACAGACGGACATGGCTATATCGACTCGGCTAGTGACCCTGATCAAGAATATATATACTTTATAGGGTCGGAAACGCTTCCTTCTAGCTGTTACATACTTTTGCACGAATACAATATACCCTTTCACTCTACGAGTGAAAGAAATTTGAGAAAATCGAAAAATAATAATTCGATAGTTTTGATATTCAAAAATATCTCCCTAAAAGGATTTTTTAAAACTCAAATTATTTTCAAAGTTATAGCCGTTTTATTGACGTGGCCACTAGACCGATTGAGCGAACGACTGGAACAATAAATGGCTGGAACCCCGGGCTACCTTAGTATGAATAACTTTCCCTCCTTCTTTCTATAACAATATCATTATTTTCAGTATACTACACTAATCGTTTGAAGATCATTGTATGGAGCTGGGATAAGGGAATGTAATTTATACGTAATATTCTATCAGTTACGCTGCCCGAAACTTAACGTAAAACTTTAAACGCGTTTTTCTCGAAACTACTTTTTTTGATGCGGTCGCCACTATATCTCAAGATCTAATCAGTCGATTTACTTGAAATATTTTACTTCTTTAAATATATCTCTATCGCCGGAACCAACAAAAAATAAAAATGATAAGTTTATAAGATTTTTAAAAATTCGACAAAATGGAAAAATTAGTGAAAAAATCGACTTCTTTCTTTAAGTAGCCGCACTTTTATGATTTTTTTTTTTTGGTGCCTTATGCCATAGCGACATTCGTACTCATTAAGAATCTATCGTTGTTTTATTTTTCAAATAACGACAAGCATAGATATCATGGCGACGAGGACACGGCCTCTTTTTTCCCCTCTTCTTCAAGTACGAATAACTTAATGAAAACAATTTTTTTTTTTTGGAAATTTATTTTAGGTACTCCTTTAAGTTTAATAAACAAATGATAAAAAACGGGTAGTAAAAAAATCTATTGATTTTTTTTATTCATTGTTAAAAAAAAAGCTCGAAATTCAAGACTAGAAGAAGTAATTAAAATCTGTCGAAGTTGATATACCCTTGCAGAATATTCTGTAAATTCTCCAAAATTATTCAAATGATGCATTCTTAATACTCATAAAAAATCCCAACTTCCTAACTTTAAAAACATCAAAGTTATGGCATTTCCAATCGTTCAGTTATATGGCAGCTATAGGATATAGTCGGCCGATCCTTATGAAATTTGGTAGGTCGTATATACACTGCGTTGCACACTAAAAATTATAACTTTGTTGTTATACCCTTGCAGAGGGTATTATAATTTTGGTCAAAAGTGTGCAACGCTGTGAAGGAGACATTTCCGACCCTATAAGGTATATATTTTCTTAATCAGGATCGCGTCCTGAGTTGATATAAGCATGTCCGTCTGTCCGTCTGTCTGTCCGCCTGTCTCTCAGTCTGTCTGTTTATACGCGAACTAGTCTCTCAGTTTTAAAGATATCGGAACGGCCGGGATCGGCCGACTATACACTATAGCCGCCATATAACTGAACGATCGGAATACCATATGTAGCGCTGGTAGTCAAGTGGGAACGGATCGTAGCTGGCGTCATCTGTGGTGTGGTTGCCGAACTAGGGTTAGAGGTAAGAGAAAGCGTAATAGGTCAACAGGGCGAAATTTCAGTTGATTTCTGCTGAGAGCGTTTGCCATTTTGGCTGTTAAGGGGCTTGCCGCCAGCGGCAAGCGGCATCAGCGTTATTTTCTATTTGAACCTTCCACCGATCAAGAAGTGAATCGTCAAAGTCAGTGTGCCAACAGTGCCAAATGTCTTGAGCTGAGCGAGCCTAAATAGGGAAGATTTTCAAAGGTATAAGGCAACCAAATTTAATTATTTCGGCCGAGTCCTATTATTGGGGGCTCGGCGATCAAAGACCAGAATCTACGATATTCAATACCGGCGGGAACACTTGAAACTGCAAGCAGCTGAGGCAGAAGTTCTCGTTGAAGTTCTATTTCGGAGAGGGCGACCAGTTGCTGCGAGACTTACGATCGATGCGGAACCACGAAAGAATCGCGGAGGAAAAGGGCTTAAAAGTGCTGAAACGTCTTGCGTGAGGGTCTAAATTTACCCAGTCCCCGACCCCGTTAAAAGTGTGAAAGAAGTATGAAGAAAAAAACCCTTTAAAATGTGGCCGAAAGGGAAGTAAAACCCATCGCGAAAAACCAGCCGAAAACGCCATTTAACCTCAAATTTCCTTTGCCGTAAAGAAGAAAGAAAAAAAAAAGAACGAAGAAATAAGAGTAATTGAAAAAAAGATGTCAGTATAGAATAGTTTTTTTAAATTATTAATCCTAAGCAAATTTGTTTCATATGTTATTTTAAAGTGTATTTTTTGTGAATTGGTTAAAGTGTTCGAGACTCGGTGTGCTGCCAAAACTCCGGCATTGTGTTCCCTCTTTCATAGAGAAAAAAATCAAAGTTTAAAGGGAAAAATTGTATGGCCACTTACCCCCTGGAAAAAAATTGAAAAAGGAAATTTGAAAATGAAAGAGTGAAAGCCCCATGTGTCCCCAAAAAAAAAATACCCTTTTCTCCTTTCGCAGCATTTTCAGCCGACTTGGAAAAAAGCGCTTTCTTCCAGGACGCCTCTGAAAAAATTGGTAAGCGTTTAAAAATATAAAAAAAAATATAATTTTGGGTGATGGGCGGCAATTTCAAGTTCTTTTTCTAAATTTTATTATGTGGTGAGAGTAATTTCCCGAATTTAAATTTTCCCATAAGTATAACAGGCATTACGTAATGGCCCAAGAATAAGAGGGCAAAGACAATCGCGAAATTGGGTGCCAATACCGTAGATTTGAACAGCAAAAACCCACTCAACACCAATATCGTAATTCGCTTTGCGTTTGCGCTCACGTTTTGATTTAGTATGCAAGTGGGAACGGTAACATGTCAACGTAACGTAACGTAATTAAAAGTTGAAAAACCACACCATGAAAAGTCATTTATATTTGTCCTTCTTTTAAATTTAAAGTAAATGCAAACCTAATTGGCATGCCGTCTTTAACATATATATTTTTGAAATCTATTTATTGCACCTATCCCTATTTATAAGAATTACCTATTATATTTATTATATTTATGCTATTTATTATATATTATCGCCATTTGTTTTTTTCTTATGATATTTATACCTATATATTATTTTTATATTATTCATTATACTTCATGTTAGTCTCGGTTAGGGTTTTCAGCAATATTGATTTGTTTAGGCTTTTAATTTGTTAAGGGGCCGTTCTAGGTAAAAGAAAATGGTTAGGGAACGGCCAATGGAAGGGTGGGCTGATTGCCGCCTCTTTAACAGCTGAGGTGGAAAAGCGGTAGGCTCGATCGCAGACGTAAGGGGCCTTACGCCCAACAATAGCCCGAGTAGTAGTAGTGTTTTCTCTCCCCGGCCTTAGTTTGGTTTGTCCTTGCACGCAATCTGAGTTCTGGTAATAATAAAATAGGCAATGACGGGTTAAAGCAAAGATCCACCCCACTAGCCGACGAGCCAAAGCCGATTTGCGTGCGCTTTGACCCGTCCGTAACACCCAGCCTGGATCTTTTGTTTATAGATTTCCGTTACACATAAACTTGGTGTTTGTAAAGTTAGGAAGTTGTGATTCTATGGGTTTTATTTTTGGCCAATCATTTCGACCTACCAACTTTTATAAGGATCGGCCGACTATATCCTATAGCCGTCATATATCTGATTGATCGGAAATGCCATAACTTTCGGACGGATCGTTTTGAGATTTTGCACAGTATTTCTCTACCAGATTCCTCAGGTAGATCAAAAAATAACTCGACGTTTTGGGCGAAAATCGGTGTTTTTGACTTTCAAGTGCCTTAAAAAATCGAAAAAAAACTCGACAGCGTTACCTGAGGAATCTTGCCCTTTAACTTATGCAATTTGATTTTTACAATTCAGATACAGTCATGGAAAAAATAATAGAAACGAAAATTTTTTTTTCGTATTTTTCAAACTTTTTTTCAGTCAATTTTTTATACCCTTGCAGAGGGTATTATAATTTTTAACGCAGTGAAGGAGACGTTTTCGACCCCATAAAGTATATATATTCATGATCCGTCTGTCCGTCCGTCTGTCCGTCTGTTTCAATACCGTTTGCGAGCTCAGTTTAAAAGCTAGCGATCTGAAACTTTCACAGTCGTCCTAAAACATGTGTACGCAGATCAAGTTTGAAAACCGCCCCGATCGGATGTCTATATCCTATAGCTCCCATAGGAACAATCGGATATAACTTGAATGGAAGATATTTCGCGC